AACGATCATTAAAAGCTTTTTGATTAATCTATACCACTTTGATCATTGTTTACATCATAAGAATGGTCTTGGGATAAGAAACTCCCACAGAGATCGTACATGGGTTATGCAATTAGGTTGTCCCTTTGAACCTAGATCTTGGGATCTCCAGTTAACAAGGTAGGATTTTCCTTCACATAATGCCTTTAAATTTCCTGGGATTTAGTCACATTTCTTTTGATGTTTTCTCAACTTGATCTCGGTTTAACCCCTTGGTTAGGAAATCCACAATGTTATCCTTTGATCTTACAAAATCGACATAGATAACTCAATTTGAGATCAATTGTCTTTGGTATTATATCGATGATGCATATGTTTCGACTTACCATTATACTTTCTAGTCGCAATAAAAGCATTATGTGGGCACATGTTTTAGCCATTCAAGAAATTCCGAAGCTATTCAGCTTATTCTCTAGACTTATCTAGAGCTTCAAACTTAGATTTCACTATGAATCTGGTTATAACCATTTTCTTAAGGATTTCCATGACACTTTTTCTTTCTAACGTGAAACATATTCACTTGTGCCGTTGATATTTTAAATATCAAATTCCAACTACCATCGATCTATCCTTCTAAGATAGTATGACAGTCAAAGAAAATACAATCCATCATTTAGGATTTATTTTCATTTATTTTGGTAATATGACAATTACTTTCTCAAGACATCCCTACATTTTCAAGTGTTTGTATGACACAAGTTTTCAATCTTTTCATAACTCATGTGGTGTTTTCTCATTTTTCATTTCATGTGGACCTTATTTAGAAGGTAATTAGTTGACAGAAAACTTCTCTCTCCCCCACAAGTTCTGTGACAACTCATAACTTCTTAGCATTGCACTTATTATTCAATTCTTTCGCTTTGCTACTCTATTTATTTAGGGGAATATAGTGATGTCACTTCATGACTAATATCATGTTGTGCACACTTCATACCATATTGATCTATTTATTAAGTTGGTTTTTAACTTCATGTTTATAGAAAATAATTTTTTTCTATAACATCGTTTTTCTCTTTTAGCAAATACAAATAGTAATACTTTTGCTATCATCAATGGAGTTAATAAAGTATTCATTCTTCCTCGCCTGTGTCATTATTACGAAGTTTAAGAACTTGGTCACTAATAATTCATTAGTAACAACATCTTCCATTTCGTTCTATGGTTCAATTGTATACCTTATATTGTGTATCCGATAATATATTCAAGATGTATTTCCAACATAGAAAGTCATAATACCTCCAAGATTCGGTAACAAGTAACAACGTTTACCTCATCATTTCTAATAATAGAAGGATCATCTCACATTTGGTCATGTGGTCAAATTCACCATGACCAAATAAAATGATATCCATATGTTATCACATCTTGAAATTCTATTCATAGAATATTACAAGTTTTTCACTGTGGCTCACGATCACCGACGATCACAATTTTGTTTAACACACGAAACTAGAATTAATAATAATTCCAAAAATAAATCAAAAATAAATTTTGATTTATTCTATCAACAAAATTTTATCATGAACTAAAATTATGAAACAAATCAGTAACACGATTGTTACTTTCCAACGATTTCTATAGAAATCAAATAATTCTATTACATGACAGAATTAAAATCCCAATTGATTTCAAACTAGAAATCAAAGATTCCAATAAACAGAAAATTAATTCTTGTTTATTTCCGATTTTGTTATCAGACATAATCAAAATTCTGAAACAAAATCAGTAACCACAATTACGTGCACGACAATTTTTGTTATACATATTTGTCCACTTTCAAATTTTAGCAAACCCGTTAAGACGGCATGATAAATCCCGAAACAAATTTATTTGCTATCTCATTTTCCCACGATATCTGAATCGTTTCATATTTAAAGAAAGGTAGAAGAAATAGTTCTGAATCATATCGAATTAAAGGGAAATATTCAAATTTCACCTACCAGGTTGACTTTATCATTGTCAACCAAAACTTGAATTCTTGACCATCTTTATTAACTTCACCATTGTTAATCAAAACAAAAACCATCAAGATTCGAGGTGTGCACCACAAAGTGTGCAACAATAGAGATCTTGCAAAGATATTGGAATCCAATTATTTGAATCCCTAAACAGAAATTAATGGAGTCATATCTCACCTTAAAATCATCTTTAAAAATATTGCTCAAAGAATTTGAAATCATAAATTCAAAAAATTGAAGGAAACTTATCTTTGACGTAAAATCCTCTTGATTTTCGCCTAAAATTTGGTTTGTCGAATTTTTGGCACTTCCCTTATACACAATAAGGATTAAACTCACGAATTTTATATAATCTCGAAAAAATAAGAAAATAAAATTTGTCTTATGATTGTTAGAAAAATTACGCATTAATCCGAGAATGTTATAGAAAAATAATAATGATAATAACATAAATATCATTATAAAATTAAAGGGAATGAAGGTGTTGAAAACATTTTGATGTTTCGATATAACAAACAAGTACAATTGAATTTTAAGATTTTATTCGATTTTAAAATCATATATTTGAGTAAATTATTTGAATATAAAAAATATTACTCCAAGTTTTCAAATGTCAATTTTAATCCTTACTTAAGTGTAAAATTGTGTATGGGTCTTAAAAATATTTTTGAAACAATTTTTACAAAATATTTCGAACCTTAATAGAGCCAAAAATGATTTTTACAAAGGGAGGTATCGATACACTCTTTGATGTCTCGATACACCCACAACATTGAATGCATTTTGTCTACTGATACACTCTTTTATGTATCGAATCACCCCCAACATTGAATGCATTTTGTGTATCGATACACTTTCTGATGTACCGATACACCCCTCGCTTAGGAAAACATCGAATGTAATTAGTGTATCGATACACCCCAAGTGTACCGATACACTAGGTCAACCAACGGTCGAAATATTTGAATTTTACACTGAGTGTACCGATACACTTGATAGTGTATCGATACACCTATGCTCCTAACAATTTTTTAAGTGGAAAACATACAACAACGGCTCTATTGACTTCACCAATGATCCCCAACGCTTAGAATTGTTCCAAGGTGTATTTAAACAAGCTGAGGAGTCATTGATCAATGATAAGAAACAAGAATTGAGAGAGAATAAAAAAGAAAGCCCTGAACTTATCGTTTGAGCATTTTCATTTTTATTCAATATTCATTTTTCTTTCAAGAACACCATTTGTGCTCAATTGTATTCATTATTGAGTGTTCTTTCTTTGTTCTAGAATTGTGCAAACATCTTGCCTTATGAGGTTTTCTGTAAGTTTGCGAAATTTGTAATTTTCTCTTTGGGAGAGAATGTTCTCAAGAATTTGGGGTATAATTCTTAAGGGAGTTGTAAGGTTACTCTTTGTCCTCAAAAGAAAGACAAATTAGTGAATTTGTGGAAAATCCTTAGTGTGGATAGCTAAGGTAGTGGACGTAGACTTGGTTGAGAAGTCAAATCACTCTAAATCGCTGTGCAATCTTTTTCAATTTTCTGCAAAAGCTTTGACCAAAATTTTTATTGCCAATTCACCCCCTCTTAGTCGATTCATTGATCGATTAACTCAACAGAAGGGATAAAAGATAGAACGAGTTTACACTTATCTTGAGATTGTTATCCGAAATAACAATTTGAGACGAAATCAATCATGAGAAAATAAACCAAAAAGGTTAAACTTCTTAGAAAATAAGATAAAAATAAATGAAAATAAAATACTCCTTTTATTTTGATCTATCGATCGAAATCAGTTGAAGTCTGTCACAACACAATTTCCTTAAGACAGATTTTTGGTCACTCCTTTGGTGCTCGAGTTCATTGGTCGTATGTCTCCCATGATACAACAATTAATGATAAGCTACAGTATCACATCTGCACAAATCACGAACGATACTTGCCTTCGACTATCACCGGAAAAACTAAGGAAGAGAATTTTTTTTTCAAGATAAGAGAAGTTCTTGAAAATTTGAGTTGTGAGATTTGTTAAGATGTGAAAAACCTAATAGGTTTCCTCACTATTTATAGGGGATTTTCAAGAAAGATTTAATCCAACCAAATATCTTTTCATATTCAACATTAAATATATAACAATATCTTTTAATTTGAAATATTCAAAAGATAAAACTCCTTTTACCATTCAAACTTAAATATGCATTATTTTAATTTGAAATATACAAAAGTATATAATTATCTTTAATATTCAAAGTTAAAAAGATAACAAATTCATTTTTAAGTTGACAAATTCAAAGAGTAATTATCCTACTAATATTCAAATTAAATAATATATTTAATTTGCAATGGTCAAAAGGTAAACTCCTTTTACTATTCAAACTTAAACATATGTTATTTTAATTTGAAATATACAAAAGTATATAATTATCTTTTAATATTCAAAATTAAAAAAAATAACAAATACCTTTTTAAATTCACTTATTAAAATAGTAATTATCTTACTAATATTCAAATTGAATTCACAATTTTTCCATCAATCCCCACATGAATGAAATTGATGATTTAATCAAAAACACTTTGGCACGATGTGGTGATAACCTTTGCGATTGATAGTTACATAGGATAAATATGTGTCATCATTTAAACATTCCCTTTTGATAGTATATTTACCAATAATAATTTTTTTCTTTGCTGACTTTGTTTACAATATATTTATCATTTCACTAGTAGGATGATACAACACTCAGTTATACATTTAAATTTTCATTGTTAGAAGAACTCATTGTAAGAGTTGACCTGCATGCAATGATTATCTTAATAACAATTCATCTAAACAATTATTTAATAACAAACAAATATTTTTAAAATTAAATTACAAAATATTCCAATATTAATTTTTAGTTTTAAATAGTGAGACTGATCACCAAATCACATTACACAACGCAAAATCAAAAGAAAATCATTCCTTGGAATTAAGAACACAACCCAACCTGTATTAAGCAAAACTTTCCTATAACAATCTTATTCACTAAAACCCTTTTATAGAACAACAACGATTCTTATATTCGCTAGTCTCAGTCTGCATGCATCAATGGCGCCATCGGAAAAATGGCAGAACCATAAATTTCATACGTCCAACCTTGCAGTGGAAACCATTACGTTCACCGCAGGCAAAGTAATAAGGCCGCCACTTATTCAGCTTAAAACGGAAGCCGTCGCCGCCGCCTTGGGTCGTATTTGCAATCATCTTCGCTTTTCTAAGATCACAAGTTAGGAAACTCCATAGGTTTGGTAGCAAATAAACGCTGAGAGGAAACGAGGTGTTGCTTGGTGGGTCATATTTGAAAACTGCAGAGCACGTTTCAATAACAAGTAAATGAAGCTAAATTCATAGCACTTCTTTTGGAAGAGATGGAAAGAAATCCATGTTTAATGAACTCACCTAGAGTATCATTGAAGTAGAACGGTCCATTTTGGAATGCCCATGCGGTGTAGTTGAAGCCGAAATGCCAATTGTCTGACCCACCAACGTTGATGTTGTTGGGTCCTTGGGTTTGGTTAGGGGGATGATAAGGACCCCAGCCCCACCCAGTGTGGCTGAACCCAGAGCCCCAGTCCTTGTTACCCATGCTCATTCCCCACAAGCTACGTACCATTATCACTAGAACGACTCTTGCACAACGTGTAAAAGTAAAATCCATGTATTGAAACTGATGGAAAAAAGATTTTAAGATTGAATGTTTTCTGGAGTTGACTTGACAAGTGGACATGTTTATATAGAGATGGAAACCTTGGTATTAATTTGCCTATTTAGTTGACCCATTCATGTTTTACCCAACTCAACATCCGTCAACCATTACACGTTCCTTTCATTTTTTTTCTTTGTTCCATTAGTTATTGGTGAGAGATTATACGAATCTCATGGCCGGTGAGCCGAAAAAACGAGTTGGCGTTGGCTAAAATGGGTTGGTGGAGACTGTTTGAAGATGTCTTGATTAACCCGCCAAGAATGGATGAACACAATTTGTTAGTATAAAATAATAAAAAAGTGAAGTTATGGTTTTTAGGTTCCTAGATTGTGTCTCTTCTACACTACAAGTCTGTCTGTTGATGTGAAACAGATTGTGAATTGTCAAAGGATGCATCCATACGTCAATCTCACGCCAACAGGACAAATCGGAAAGAATACTTATTTAAAGGGAGTACATTGGCTATTAGATCAGTTCATGTAATTTGTAGTATATAATTATAATGGTATAAATTTAAAATGCGTTTAAATGTTTATTATTCTGAACTAATTGAATAATATATGATAAAAATAAATATGGCTATCACTAAGAATTTATCTTTAAATACTTACATCTATAAGATGTATATATATTGTTAATAATTATTTTTTTTAACTCGTACTAAATTATGACCATTCTATACTACTAAGAATCAACGATAAAACTGGATGGCTTAGAAAGTACGTTAAGTTCAACAAAGTGGAGTTCAGTTGCTTTGTGATAATCAAAGTGCTATTCACTTGGCTAAGAATCAGGTGTATCGTGCTAGAACTAAACATATTGATGTAAGGTTCCACAAAGATCAGAGAGTTGGTTGCATCTAGAGAGGTTTTGTTTCAGAAGGTACATACTGATGAGAATGTCGCTGATATGTTCACCAAGCCAGTTACGACAGACAAGTTCAAGCATTGCTTGGACTTGTTGAATGTTTCGAGTTGTTAAAGAAGCAAGGTAACCCAACCCACATTGAAGTTTCCAAGGGGCAGGATATTCGCCAAGGTGGAGATTTGTTAGGTATGGCTCATAAATATACCAGTAAAGAGGATAGGAGATGGAGCGAGCAAAGCGAACATTAACTGTCCTTACAAAGAAAGTCTCGTTGTGGGGTTACAAATTATGTGGGTTGGGGGTGCGGGGGCGCAGCCCCCGCGGTACGGTACAGGGTTGATTTTGTAATTATGTACCAGGGTTTTCTATTATAAATAGAGATGTAACCTAGACCTAAAATATCATTGAATAAAATTCTAGCGCCGCCTAAGCACCGAGGACGTAAGCACATTGCCGAACCTCGTAAAATTCTCGTGTTCTTTACCCGTTTTCGTCAACAGAGGTGACCAATTGTAAAAGCGTCAACGGCTCGGACAAAACGTGAAGTCGTGAAAAGAAAACATTCGTTGCGTCATCATACTTCTTTCCAATTTCCTCGACTACCAAAAACGAAAAAAAGGCTCAATTTGGCACATTCCCACCATTTTTCTACCTTCTTCCCCCACTATATAAGCCCCATAACCAACCAATGCCAAAAACCAACAACTTCACCTACAATCTTTCTAGTAGAGCCCTATACCAAGTCTTCAAAATTTGACTGTGAAAATGGGTTTCACATTTGCATATTGACTCATGCTACTCGTGGCAGCAGCTTACATGTTGGGAGTGAGCCATGCCAATAAGGACTGGGGCTCCCCTAAATCAAACTACACCAGCTGGGGCTGGCGCTGGAACTCCACCAACCAGCATCCCTTGAATGAAACTCAAGGTCCCCAAAAGATCATCGTTGGTGGCCCACAGAACTGGCACTTCGGCTTCAACTACTCCCACTGGGCGTTCCAAAATGCACCCTTCTACTTCAATGACACTCTAGGTCAGTTAAAAATGGGAAGCTCAGTTATTTATATTTGTTGAAATCAGTGAAATGACACTTGGAATTTGGTTTTTTGCAGTGTTCAAGTACGATCCACCGGGCAACAACACGTTCCCTCACACAGCGTTTACTTATTCCCCGACCGGTGGAGCTACTTGAATTGCAACTTGAAGAGAGGAAAGATGATCGCGAACGCAACCCAAGGAGGTGGCGACGGCTTCGAGTTCGTGCTCCACAAGTGGAGCCCCTTTTACTTTGCTTGCGGTGAACATAACGGCATCCATTGTAAGGCCGGCGGCATGAAGTTCATGGTGGTGCCACTCTTCCGTTGGCTTTACTAAACTCTTGGAGATTATCACAGATGAAGATGGACATTCGATGTAATAGATACTAGTGTTTTATTTCACTCTTGCTGACGACATTAATGTGTGACTGTTTCTTAATATGATTTGACGAACTACTAGAATTGATTTATTTTGTGTTGTAATGAAAGCAAATAAGATGAAAGACATGTTGCAGTTGCATTCACGTCCCGTTTAAAACTACATTCATGAATAAATTAACCTTTTTAAGTTTGTTCCAGAGAAAAAAATAATATTGCTTTTCTCATTCCATTTTTTAAGGTGTAAAATATAAAATGGTATATAAGGGTGTAAACGAACAGAACATTCGATGAACTATTCGTGAACCATTCGTATAACGTTCGTTTATATTCATTTATTAAGTTAAACAAACAAGTATGAATTAAAAAGTTATATTCATTTAGTAAACAAACGAACACGAACAAATATGTGTTCGGTCCATTTATATTCACGAACAAACCCTTTTATTGACTCGTTTATCAGCTCACTTATATAAGTTCATTTACTCGATTCTCATTTTCCTTTTATTTATGTACATTATAAATATTGGTAAAGCTACAGACTAAATTTGATAAGGTGAACTTTGGAGTTCAAATTGTGAAGCCTAAGAAAATTAAGGACTAGTGGCATAATTTCATCCATTTTCTTTGGCTTGCAAATAAAAGGATAAAAAGAGAGGGTTGGTTCCTTAATATTAATCAAACGTCAAATGAACATGTTTGCGGACGTTTCATGAGCATATACGCGAATATTACATGAATAAATACAAATATCTTAAAAAAAAAATAAATGAATATTAATATGATACTGAAAATTTAAACGGACACGAATGCTTTCAAAAAAAAAAAACACAGACATAGCTTTATTCGTTCAAATTCGATTTATTTACATAAACTTTGTAAGTTGAGTTAAATTGCCCCTTAATTTTTTTAGGCCAAAGAAATCTATGAACTTAACATGTTTAGTCAAATTGACCTATAAAGATTTTTAGTCAAATTCACCCCTAAAATTAAAAATGTTGATGGCACCGATACGAAAAGGATATATTAAAATCCTTTAAACCATTCAATGTCAATATTGCCTAACGAAATTTTGATATTGTATGAACGATATCGATGATACCTTTTTAAAATCGAAATTTTAAAAGATATAAATTCATATGGCAAATCATAACCAAAATCATTAAATAATATTTAGGACTCAAAACATTCAACAAGCAATATAGTAATATGTAAAGCATTCGATTTTTAAAATTCAAGAAAATATTTCAGAGTTTAAAGTGTACTATTTTATTAAAAATTACCAAAAAAAATCTTCTTACTTAACTTTCACCAACTACTACCTTCTTCCTCAAGCATTTGAAAGCTCTCCCACCATTTTTACCAATCAAACAATCATATAATGAATTTACACATCAAATTAAAGATGGAGGAAGAAAATTAAGCTATGGATTTAGAATCTGTAAACACCATGAAAATGATCTAAATAAGCTTCTTAAAGCTTAAATCCTGTAAAGCCTTCAAGTAACTTCATACCATCCTTTGAAAAAGATGGTGTGTTTTTCTTAAAGGTTCATGGAGTGTAGATAATGATTCTAATCTTTTATCAGTGTGATTGATTTGACTGTCAAGGATTACTATTTTAGTGGTTTAAACTCTAGGGAGAAGGGAGGAGGGGTGATAACACACTTTCAACTTTTTGTCCCTCTCGTATAAGCCCAAATACGAGTAATTTAATGGATTTTCAGCACATTTTTCAATAATGGGTAATTTGTATATTTAATCCTTCATCTTTTATCCTTAACAAAAAATTCCCTTTTATGACAATTAAGGCTAATTCTCATCTGATCAAGTTTCATATTTTATTCAACGAATCTGATCACATTTACTTATTGGTTTATCCATAATTTGGGAAAACGCTCTAAAGTTGACTCAAAATTAGTTTTCACCAAGACATGAATGCAATTGCCAGATATTTGTCATCTTATTTCTTATCTTTGCAACGTAAAATGAACCAAAAGTAGTGACTTCTCAACAACATTAAGCAACACCCATTCATTTGTAAACAAAGTGGAATAAAATTACGTTGGAACTCCATCTTCATTAATTTGTGATAACATCCAAGAGTTTAGTAATGCCAGTGAAAGAGTGGCACCACCATGAACCTCCCGCCGTCGACCATTACGTTCTCCGCAAGCAAAGCAGTAGAGCCTCCACTTGTTGAGCAGAAACTCGAAGCCATCACCACCTCCCTGGGTTGCATTTGCGATCATCTTCGGTAACTTTAAGTTGTAATTCAAGTAGCTCCATCGGTCAAGGTATAAGTAGCTATTTAGCCTAAATTATACATGTTAGAACCAAACCATAAATAAATATGAAAAATTAACCAGGATCTAATCATGTCAAACCATCAAGAATAGAATAAATTCTAGATTTGCGGAAGCATGCCTAAATCCATTGTTGAAGATTACCTAAAAGGTTGAGATCTTGAAGAATGCCTTTCGATATAGGATTTTATGATAACAATATACATTATAAATATGTTCCCATAGTAATGGATTTTAATCCAACAATTTCCCACTTGGGCAACATATGTTTCCTGGTAAATGTATAACCTTATGAGCTCAAAATTTATTATAATGAAATAGGTATTCTAGAACAATCTCGTCCATCAACTAGATCCATATAGGA